ATATCAATAATTCATATATGACTCGATAAGACTCGAATTTGTCCGAGGCCTTCACTGAAGACCAAGGACACATTATGTTCCAATACCCACAGCAACTAAATACTATTATAATGTGTTTTCGTTCGATTCACCTGAACCGACGACGATTACACATAATACGACAATAATCATACAAAACCAAAACAACGTTCACATTAATTCATTGAGCACGTATAATTCATAGGACACGATAACACATCAAATTAACATGAAAATTAATGCAAGAAGGATCGAGGCTCGATACCGTTCTCGGGAAAAACTAAAAGAAACGGGACGTAGGACACGAACGGGGTTGCCGGGCTCGACGAATTCTCTCGTGTCGTCGGAAGAGGAGGGCAGCGGGCTGAACAGGGTTGCCGTCGAGAGCTAGAATTCTTCGAACAATGGTTGGGTCTCGCCGGTGCGCACGGCGGTAGGCGACGATCGGGCAAGGGTGGTCGACGGGAATCGAACGCGACCCCTGGGCTTGCTGCGTTTCTGAAGGTAAGGAGCGTGGGTGAAGGTGACGACCATGGCGGCTCGGCGTCCGGAACTCGTCGGCTTCGTTTAATGCTCCGACGGAACTCGACGGAACTCGACGATCACGATAGGCTCTTCGACGGAATCCGACGGGTCCCGAAAGCCGAAGTTGAATGTTGACGGAGGAGGTTACCTGAGAAACCTTGATTTGCCCTGCTGCAGAACCCTCGTGCTGGACTCGCGGAGAGGGAAGGCTCGCGACAACAAGAACTCGGCGATGGAATGGGCTCGCTGAAAAAAAAAAAGACTCGCCGGGACTTGCTGATGGTGGCGCGACGATTGGGGCCTGCGATCGGGTAACGGGCTCGCCGGGACTTGCTGATGGTGGCGTGACGATTGGGGCCTGCGATCGGGTAACGGGCTCGCCGGGACTGCGTCACAGGGAGGAGCGGGTTCACGTCGGGAGTGATGTCGCGGCCTGCTGGAGAGGAAAGCTCTCGTCGAACTGCTGGGGAAAAAGAGGTTTGAAGGAGGAAGAAGGGCTGCGGGTCTCCTCTGCTCTTTTGCTGCGTGCGTGTGTATATATATATATACATATATATACCTTAAATAATTAGGTTTAATTTCTTGTTTTGCAAGAAAATTACCACACGCACACACACGCACGTGAGGAAACCGGACCGGGTCAAAAATTCGGTTCATCGAGTCGAAAGCTCAGTTCTAGCGCGGCTTCAAGAAATTGGATCGGTTTTCGGGCTCGGTTAAAATCGCACGATTGATAAAATAAAATCGGACCAAAATATATATATAACACATTCTAATTAAATATAATACACATAATAGTATTAGTTAATTATACACATTAATCATTTATTTTAATCAATTAGGCACATTGGACAATTATATAAATATAAATATAAATAATAATAATAACAATCAAATAAACAATTAAAGGCAATTAGGCATTTAGCAAAATATTTATAATAATAACAATAGCAATAATAACTTAGGCAATTAAATAATAATAATAATAATAATAATAAAGACAATAATAAATAACCCAATCATTCCATATTCAAACGGATTAAATTCAGGTCGCGCGATTAAACGCCAATCGCCTACGACGAACATTTTTCAATAGAACAATCGAGTGCTCCGACCTATTATTCAAGTTGATGCCGCGACTAATAAAATATAATATATCCCTATAAATAATATTCGATAAATAGAATATTCCGAGAAATGCTATAAATCGAACGGGGCGTTACACTTTCCTTTCCAATTCTCTTTTAATTTTTCTTTCATAATTTTCGTTCGTTCAAAAAAAAAATCGTCAAAAAAAAAAAAAAAATCAATCAAAATTAGTCCGGGAAGTCGAGAACGTAGGCAAGCCAGAAAAGATATGGCCAATCGAGAGTTGAAGGAAAAGGTCGAAGGTTTGGAAGGCCAATTCAAGGCCATAAGAGAAAGCATGGAGGATCGGTTTGGATCGCTCGACGAGGGACAGATCAGCACCAATGCTGCCGTGGCTCGCCTCGAGCAGCGCCTGGAGGAGGTGTTGCGCAGGTTCCAGCAACAGCAACATCAAGAGCCACCACGGGTGAACGCACGCGAGCGTCTAAGGCATCAGGAGCAGCAGCGGGCTGAGCACAACCCGAGGAGAAGGAAGAATAAGAACAGCGGTCGCAGGCGTCAAACGTACAGGAGCGAGCCCACGTCGAGAAGCCAAGGATCGTGCTCTCGACGTTCACAGGAACCAACCCCGACGCTTTGCTGAACAGGGCGGTGCAATTCTTTGACTTAAATAAGATGCCACAACGTGACTGGGTTCGGTATGTTGCGTACTATTTTGATGGTGAGGCCAACGTGTGGTGGCAGTGGCTCACGCGCGTGTATCGCGGGCGGCAACAACCGATCCGTTGGGAAGATTTTGAATGTGAGCTCCTTACACGTTTTGGAAACTCGGACTACCATAACCACGACGAGGCGCTGACTCAGATCCGACAGACGGGGAGTGTACACGAGGCGCTGACTCGGATCCGGCAGACGGAGAGTGTATGTGACTACCAAAAGGAGTTCGAGAGATTGGCATGCCGGGTTCGCGGGTGGCCGGAGAGCGCGCTTGTTGGCGCGTTCATTGTAGGTATGATCTCGCGGCCGAAGTGCGATTGGAGAGGTCGGAGACCATGCACGGGGCCAGGGAGGTTGCTAGGAGACGGGAGGATCACTTGGCCGCGACTCGAAGGGGACGGGCGGATTTTCGTGTCCCAGAGCCGCGGCGGGTACCCGCGACCGTGGGTGCACCTAGTGCGAACGCGAGGCCGCCAGGCACATTTAGGCCTCCAGCAACTGAGGTGAAGAGGTTGACGGAGGAGGAGATGGCACGGAGATGTGAGAAAGGGCTGTGTTTCCGGTACGAGGAAAAATACACGCCGGGATATCGGTGCAAGCAGAATTTCTTGATCGAGTTCGTGGACTCGGATGACGAGAATCCGGTGATCGAGGAAGAACGGGAGGTGGAGGTCGAGGTGCTCAATGACGAGGCCGAGATCTCAGTCCATGCGATGGCGGGCACTAAAGGGCCGAGGACTATGAAGTTGCCGACGTGGTTGAAGGATCGGCGGGTTACGGTACTCATGGACAATGGGTCGTCGCACAATTTCATTAATGCGACTCTCTCGCACAAACTCAAGTTGCCCACGACCACGATTGAGCCGTTCGAGGTTAGGGTGGCGAATGGCGAGCGCTTGCGGTGCTCGGAGATGTACCGGGGCGTGCCGATCAAGTTTCAAGGAGTGACGGTGAAGGCGGATTTATTTTCCTTGCCGTTGGTGGGGCCGGATGTGGTGCTTGGGGTGCAGTGGCTCGAGGGAATCGGAGATGTGACAACTAACTACCGGAAAGGTGTGATGAAGTTCGAGGCCGGTGATCAGCTCGTTACTTTGAAGGCTAGTGAAGGGGCAACCAAGGAGGTTGGTCTAAAAAGCATCGAGAAGGGGTGGCGAGGTGGCGGACAGTTGTACGCTGTCGTGGTCGAGCAGACAGGCAAGAACGCGGAGATGGTCGAGGAGTTCGACCAAGTGGTCGAGGAGAAGCAGCTCATGGTGCGTGACTTGCTCGAGGAGTTCGACCAAGTGGTCGAGGAGAGGCAGCGCGAGGTGCGTGACTTGCTCGAGAAGTTCGACCAGGTCCTCGACGAGCCCAAGGGATTTCTGCCGCACCGGGAGTTCGACCACCGCATACCTTTGGTCGAGGAGGGTCGAGCAGTGCACGTGCATCCCTATAGGTACGTGCACTTTCAGAATTCAGAGATCAAGCGGCAAGTGGGCGAGATGCTCGAGTCCGGGCTCATCCAGCATAGCACGAGCCCGTTCTCATCATCGGTGCTGCTCGCAAAGAAGAAGGACGTCACGTGGCGGTTCTGCACGGACTACCGCGCTCTCAATGCAGCTACCGTGAAGGATCGCTTTCCTATTCCGAGCGTCGACGACATGCTGGACGAGTTGGGTGGCGCGCGCTACTTCTCCAAGATCGACTTGCGCGCGGGCTACCATCAGATCAGGTTGGCCAAGGAGGACGTGCCCAACACGGCTTTTCGCATGCACCACGGGCACTACGAATATCTCGTAATGCCTTTTGGCTTGTGCAATGCACTGTCGACCTTTCAGTTTGACATGAACTCGATTTTTAAAAGGTACCTACGTAAGTTTGTGTTAGTATTCTTTGATGACATTTTTGTGTACTCGAAAACATGGGCAGATCATCTCGAGCACTTGCGAGTTGTTTTGGAGATTTTGGCAGCCAACTCATTTTATATCAAGCCGTCCAAGTGCTCGTTTGCTCAAGAGGTGGTCGAGTACCTTGGGCACTTTATTTCTCATGAGGGTGTTAAGGTGGACCCAGGGAAGATCGAGGTGATGGTGGGGTGGCCGAAGCCCACGAGCTTGACGCAGTTGCGAGGGTTCCTTGGTCTCACGGGCTATTATCAAAAATTCGTGAAGGACTATGGGACCATCGCTAAGCCACTTACGGAAATGACAAAGAAAGGAGCATTCAAGTGGACGGAGGCGAGCGAAAAGGCTTTCGAGGAACTGAAGGAGGCCATGACGACCACACCCGTGCTCGCGATGCTGAGGTTTGATGTGTTGTTCGAGATTCACTCGGATGCAAGCGACATTGGAATCGGGGCGGTTCTAGTGCAGGAAGGTCGGCCCTTGGCCTATCTCAGCAAGGCACTCGGGCCGGCGCGCTTGGGGCTGTCCACGTACGTGAAGGAGATGCTGGCCATGGTCGAGGCGGTACGCGTGTGGAGACCGTACTTGCTTGGGCGACGTTTTCGATTTGTTACGGACCAGCAGCCGCTCAAGCACTTGCTCGAGCAAAGGATCGTGACGCCCGAGCAGCAGAAGTTCGTATCCAAGTTGATAGGATTCAACTTCGAGATAGTATATCGGCCGGGTTGCCAGAACACCGTGGCCGACGCATTGTCTCGCCGGGAAGACGTGGCCGAGCTCGACGCAGTAACGGGACCGATGTGGGCCATTTGTGTAACACCCCGCTTATCAGAGTAAATTTTTCGAAATTATCTTAACTCAGGATGCT